TWWWAYMMMTWAAAAWTTWYMTTTTTTTTGTTATTTTAGTGAGTTAATTTTAAATTTTGAATTAATTTTTCATGTGTTAATTATACAGTGTTTCATTTTTATTGTTAGGTACAAATTTAAATACTTGCTAGAATATTTAGTTTTAAGACAAAAGTGTTTCGAAAAATGCTGTGAAAGGGAGCTACATTTCCTAAAAAAGATACGTTTTTTAAAAGGTTTTCCTAATATTTCAAAATAGATAAAATTACAAAATTTGGTACCCTTATATGTACACTTAAACAAATGCCAAATAACAAGATTTTTAATCWGGGGCGTCCTAAACGGTAAAACAAATTTAATTTTTAATTTTTATGCTGTTTATGGTCTGTAACATAAATTTTAAACCGATTTTTACTAAAAATCSGTAAATTGTATCTGAAAAACACAAAAGACCTTTTTTTATGAAAAACTATGAAATTTTGTTGTTGAAAGTGGCAAGAAACCATAGGCAAAATAGAATAAATTTTTACCCTAATCCCATCTAGTTTAGGAAGCCCCTAATTAAAAATTTTTACATTTTATTTTTGTACTTGTTTAGGTGTATAACAGTTATCATCTGTACCAGATTTTGAAATTTTTTTCTAAAATAATTTCGGAAATATTGAAAAAAACCTATTAAAAAACGCACCCCTTGCGTAGCATTTTTCGATATATGTTCATAGAAAATTTTTGTTTTAAAAATGAATATTCTATCTCCTGTTTAAATTTGTAACAATAAAAAGTATTAAAAATATATTTTATTTTTTGTTACTTTTGTGAGTTCATTTGAATTTTTTTATGTTTAATTAGGATCTCTTATTTTAATTTAAAATAAAAACGTGTACTTAGAGATTTTTGATTTTTAATCCGCCTTCTTTCATTTCATTTTCATGCACCAACAAGAAACCCCCCCCGAAATAAAATCCTGGTTACGGCCCTGATGTTAGGCATTGACATTGATGACTACCAAAATGCATTGCTCGCCAATGTACGTCTACTAAATAATTACACCACACTAACCAAATCCTCAATTTTTTTGAAAAAATAACCACTTTTTAACTTTCAAAACCACACATTCCACCTCAAAAATCAATTCACAGCACACTTGCATAGATTCAAAAACATCACCACTCGCGCGCTACCAACCTCCCGTCAAGAAATTCCCCATGGCCATGTTTGTTTTTGTTTGCTAATGGCGTGTTAGCTTAAGAATTCGGTCAAAAAATCCGGCATTTCCGGTGAAACTACGCCAAACTAAGGCTTCGACAATGCCGGGAACCATCCTCGAGAACCTCAGCGGCCGTAAATTGAGTGTTTTAGTGGCCATCCTGTTCTTCAGCCAACTGGGTTGCTTCCTCGTCGGCTTGATAGCCCCCAAACCGGCAAACTCCCAGGGGATCCTCGCCACGGTATGTCTCGACGACAAAATTGCCGCCCAGGACTTGAACCATTGGGTCACACGCAATTGCGACAGGATCGACTTGACTAACGTTAAACCTGGGGTCACAGCTGAGGATATTGTGAGTAATCGAGTCTGGATTTTGGGAGTTTTATTCGGAATTTTAGGTTTTTGTGCTTCAAATGCCGCTCTCGCCCGAGTGGGATTTCTCTCGATGGCAGCAGAACTTAGTCGGGATCCTCCAGTTTGATTTATTGTACCAGAATGGGTTAAATCCGGCTGAATTCATTGTGGAGCTCACCATCGACGCCCGATTGGCCTACAGTGACAAGAAGCGGACTGGGGGACGAACTCCTTGGTCGTACTACGCCCACTCTGAGGAAAAACGCTACATGGATTGTGATATTGACCTTAAAAATGTCAGGTCTCCTGAGGGGTACCCCTACAACTGTTCCATGGTACCCCTATTTGAACTCGGTTCTTTATTCCATGACTATTATCTTCTCAACATCCGGTTGCCTTACGACGAGAAACAACTAAAGAACGTCGATTTGCGTAAGATTCAAGACGTATATTTGCATCTGATACACATGAATGGGGGCTTCACCCAGGTTTGGGTCTCTCTCAAGACATTTTTCTTCCCTATTATCATAGGGATAATGATTTGGTTTTGGAGACGCGTTCATTTATTATCCCGGACTCCAGCTTTGCTCGAGTACATGTTGATTTCGCTAGGGGGCACTTTAGCCTTTCTTGACCTTCCGGTTGAATATTTGACCCTCTGGTTCGAAATGCCCTTCATGCTTTTGCTTAGTGACATCCGTCAAGGCATTTTCTACGCCATGTTGCTCTCTTTTTGGCTCGTCTTCGCCGGTGAGCATATGCTAATCCAAGACAATGGCGAGAAAAATAGTATCAAATTGTATTGGAAACACTTGAGTACTATCGTCATTGGTTGTTTGTCTTTGCTTATTTTCGACTTGTGCGAACGTGGAATTCAACTCGTGAACCCATTTTACTCGATTTGGGTCACTCCAGTGGGCACCAACCTCGCCCTCTCTTTCATAATCCTCGCCGGGATTTCCGCTAGCATGTATTTTATTTTCTTGTGTTACATGATTTGGCGAGTTTTTAAAAACATAAGTATAAAAAGGACCGTATTGCCGAGCATGTCTCAAGCCCGGAGATTGCATTACGAAGGTATCATTTACAGGTTCAATTTCCTCATGTTGGCGACAGTGATCTGTGCTGCTGTCACTGTTATCTCATTCATCTTGAGTCAAGTGGCCGAAGGCCAGAACAAATGGGATGAAAATATGGAACTCGAATTGTCTTCTGCTCTCCATACTGGAGTTTATGGCATGTGGAATGTCTACATCTGCGCCATGTTGATGTTGTACGCTCCTAGTCATAAGCAATGGCCTGCAGAGCCGATCTGTGCCGAAGGCGAGGAGGTCGAGTTTAGTCGCCTTCCAACCGATCCGACTCCCAATGAAATCTCCTCCTTGACTTCGTTTGCTTCCAAAGCTAGCATTGAGTAAATCTCAAACTGTGACGTAATTGATGTTTTTTCTAACTACTACTTAGAATAAGTACTTAATTCTTGGATTTGTGATGAAGCATGCACACGCACACCGTTTTTAATATTTATTTCTCGTTTAGATGAATGTTTTTAGAATTTTTACTGACGCTATCGCGTACCTATCGTAATAATACTATGTATATGTTGACTGCATTACGTAGCGGGTAGTGTTGTATATGTGATCTTTGCGATGTTTTAACTCTGGTGATTTTTATATGCCCGATCAGTATTTTCTCGCATTTACTAATAAATATGTATAATATACAGTAGGAGTTAGTTTTTCTTCACCCATCTCATCGTTTTGAATAATAGAATTGCAAGTTTTTCACCTTCGTTTAATTGATAGTTCAAGTTATAAGTTTATGAGCAAAGTTCTCTTTCTACACTCTAACACTGTAATTGAAGTCGACGTTCAATACCGCCCATCGCATTGCATAAACTACAAAGGGCTAATTAATGTTGTTAGTTACTGTTGGCCCCAGAGGCATTGAAACTTGTAGCTGTCAAGTAGAATCTGTTTTTTCCTAATAATTACTTGTGTGTAATTTGAAATTACGTTGACTCACTAAGCCTACCAGGCGCAACTTTTGTGGGAGAAAAACAAGGGGGAATTCAAGCAATGACACAGCTATTTCAAGATAATATATTCTCGGTATTATAGTTTGCAGAAATTCTTAAATTTAACTAAGAACTAAGTTTATAAAAAAATGCGTAAGCTATACCATGGCAATTACAAAATTTCCTTAATGTACGATAATATGGCTTCAAAAAATACTAGTATGTTACAAAAAATATACAAAAAATTCCCAAAAAAACTGGAAAAAATATTATACAATCAATGTTGATGAGACATTGAATCTATTTACATCAGACTTCAGACGTAACTCTCGCTTTCGGCGTCTGTGACGAGGAGTAACTTTGCTGTAGCGTAAATCGGGGGCGGTGGGGGCGGCGGTCGATACATGGGTGGCAGATGGACTGGAGGTAAGTGTCTGAGGGGCGGCGGCCGTCGTGGCGGTATCGGAGGCCCACACAGACTCTCATTCGAGGTACAGAAAGCCTCGTCTTCCTCAATCCAGGTGTTGTCCAATGAGCGCACTCTGGCAGCTTGTCTCGCCCAATCAGAACGATGGAACGAGGGGTTATTGTAGTTGAGGCCTGGACTGTCGCGGTCATCCTCCGACAACGTCAAACCAGAATCGCGACTAAGCGATTTTTGGTCTTTGCTCAACTCCACACTGTCTAACGATAGACCCAGAGCTGGAAAAATGTGTTTAGTCTCCGGTCCGCTGCCATAATGTGACTCACAGTGTAAGCTGTCGGATTCTTCCGCCCCGCTGTCATTTGCGACTTCGCCAAGAAGGGAAACGACTTGTGAACCGAATAAAATTTGGCAATTGTTGATTAACATCTCGACGAGGGTGGGTAACGTCCGCAAGGGGGCGTTTTGGACGGATTCCCAGAGCAAACTCGGACCAACACATACACCTAACATCCGGAATTGTTAATCATTCAAATTCAATGACTCAAAAATAACAAACCTAAATTTGCTGCTGACATGAGGTTAAACCTGGCACGTTTGGCGATGTTATATAAGACACAAATCACGTTGGCTAAAAGGAGGTGATTTTCACGAGGTAGGAGACTGAGGAGTCTTCTCAAGTGGTCAGTTCTGCCGCTAGAGGCCGCGGTGAGCCATTCTTGAGCGTTTCCGGTGAGGAGTGGCTCCGGGAGACTCCGGAGGAAGTCTTTGAGGAGTGCGGCGAGGAGAAGAGCTGGAGTGTTTGATATTTCCTCACAAACGGTGGCTCCTTGAGTATCCACTTTCTCCCGGAGTTCGCGCAAGGCGCGAGCCGAGGCACACCGTCGGAAAATACCCTGCGTGTGGGGACCTCTCTGGAAGAGGGCTCGAAGACAGGAGGTGATGGCAGGCGGAAGGGCATTATTGGTGCATAGGCGAGACAGAGGGACTCCGAATAACCGACCGGTGGTTTTACGGAACAATTTTAAAGGTGTCCTATGAAACAAATTAAATGAATAAAACCTCAAATGGGGTTTTCGTGTCTTACTTTCTCGGAGAGGGTTTAATATTCGGTTTTAACTCAAAAACAATATCACTCGGTATCCGATTATTGTTACAATGAGTTAAATCAAAACCCTCTTCGGCACACAACGACTGTCTCAGTCTCGCCAACTGTATACTATGGGGGCGCTCGCAGCCGATTAAAGCACAAGGGGCGTTGTCTCGATCCCGGGCGTACAAAGTGTAAGCCCAATCCCCGATTCTGGACTCATCAAGGGCCAATCTGGCCACATCTCCAGAGTTCATTTCGGGTCCAACACCCAGAGTTTTTGAACATTCCGTGCCACTTAAAGGGTCGCGATAGACCACTTTGATGTTCGTAGTAGGAGGCTCGAGACGGAGTTGGACTTCAAGGGCTTGTTGGAGTTCACGCCACCAGGAGTCACGAGCTGCTTGAGTGCAAAAGGTCACCAAATATGTGCGGGCAGGGGACGGCCAACCCAGGAGGAAGCCCGTTTCCGAATCGGGGCAAGGGGCAATCCAAAGTTCGGATACTCGGACGCTTTCCTGAGAAGAAAAGTAATGTTATGAAAGCAATTGTTTATTTTTTCTAAAGCAGCTGTTGATGTGTAATTATATCTCAAAAATAAACAATTATTTCCGGATTTAACTTTCACCGGATGTTGCTTCACTCCAAAATAGATGTGTGTTGTCGATTTTTCTCGTCTACTTACCTTGAGTTTAAAGCTGGTGTTGGAACGGGGTTTGGCGACGAGGAGAAGATCGGAGAAGAGGAAAAGATGCCTCGGTTTGGCATTGTGTGGCATATGAAGCGGTGCCATAGTGCACGGCGCCTCCACCAAAAATATCCTGTTGCATGTTTCCCTGTTGTTATTTTCGATAAGATTGAGATCTCCGAGTGACTTCTTCCGGAAAGATTTTTTCTGTAAAAAAATTCTCGTTTGAAAACATTGAACTCCCGTGAATATGCAAACGAGTCGCCAGGAAAAGCCTCAAATTGAAAAAATGGAGAGGTACTCGTACAGGTGAACCGTTAGTCCGCGACACGATCGCTGAAAGATTTCTGCATGTTTCTATATTGTATTGCAACATTTATGCAGTTTTAACGGTCTGTTAATGTGCATTAAAAGCACACGAGGTGCATCGAGCTATTTAAATAAACAATCCGGTCGCGATACAACGCGGAATGTTGTGCTTCTTAGTTAAATGCGCTATTACGACATCGAGGATTTTATTATGTAAAAGAGGCTCTTCTGCACTTAATCACGGAAAAATCTTCAATTTATAATCAGTTGAGAAATCGAGAAAACGGATAGTTTATTGATTTACATTTTTTCGACTTACCACATGGTACGTTGAATTGGGTTCAGCAATGTGTAAGCCTAAGTAGTCGTGTGGAAATAAGTCTTGGATGCGATCCAAATCGCGGCGACGGCCGTCCAGAGACGGCTGCGAGCCCCCCAACAAACGCCCGTAATCCGCCAGTCGCTCGGCCTGAAACAAACCAAATGCATTTTTGATGTTATATTGAATTTTGGACCAATGTTTGTAAAATTAGATGGGTTAACAAAAACAAAATATTATTCACGTTGCCTACATATTTTGTGGTATAATTTGTAAACCTTGCTATTTAAAAACAAATTATTCGAGGAAGTGCTAATTACGAAAATTAGACTTTACCTCGAAAAATCAATTAGAAAATTCTTGAGAGAGAGTTTAATTTCCAATTTTCAACACAAGGACAAATATTTAACGGATATTAAGAGCTCTTGAAGTCATCAATTTTATCAATTTTCTTCACTAAAGGAAAGTTGATAGAAATCACTCAATAATTTTGGTCATGTTCTCGGCCTTTTTCTGCGAAATTACGGTTACAATTGGTTTGATTCTAGTCACGAGGTGTTTAAACTCGTCCCGAATAAAAATCCTCAACCTGCTCTAAACCGGAAGAAATTCAGTAATATACAAAAATCGTTACCGAAAAATGAAAGTTAGTGAAAGATGAGTGTCTCTGCAATTTGCCACAACTCTCGTGACTCATGATCATATCTCGATTGACACATATGGTACTAATCTCTTGAGAATATTAGATAAAAATCGAAAGAGAAATTTCCTGGGTGTTTCCTCGGCCGCCGACTAATTAACCGAAAGATGCACAATATGAAAGTTGATAATTTACATACAAATAAAACCGATATCGTGACTATGGCTGATGTATAATTTACGATAAAGCCTTAAGGCTTCAAGTCTGTCTTGTCTGCCCGGCGATGCCCTTAGGTCTCGCTTTCACCGTCAACCTCGCCCCTTTCCATTCAAGAAACTCTTTAAATATCCAACCTACTAAAAAGTAAAAAGCCATAATAGTAGCGCGAACGTGTGTGAGAGATTTCGATGCCTTTATAAAAGGCCGCAACGAAAGTTATTTATTGTCTCTGGTCACCCACACAAAATAGGGGATTCACCGATTTTCGGCTAGTTAAAAAATTTCTCTTTCGCTTAAATATTCGCAAAGTTGAACTTAACCTTTCGCTATCTTAATTAGAATCGGCGATGGTGAATTTCGAGTCGAGGCCGAACCGCAAGGTTCCACTTCCATCCCGTTTTTTTCCGCTAAAGTACGGTACCGCAAATTGTATTTCTATTAATTAAATAATAACAAGTGTTCGATGCGCCTTGTTAAAGTTACAGTTAGGGCAATATTAGGATACTGTTGATTGGTCACGTGTTGTGGTACCGCACCCACGTACCAATTAATATTAACACGAGTATATTATGTCGCAACAATGACAAACGGTGATTAAAACGCGCCATAAATAGAATAGTACAATTTTCTTTAATTGAATGAAACTTTTTTCGCGTGCGAAAAAAAACCGCTGCAATAAGCAATCAAGTCGTAATTTAATACGAGTGATCTAAGAAATTTAATTAGAATTTCAAACACTACCACCCATGTATTGCGTGACTTTTAACACTCATGCCATACGCGTTGATGGTATTATGTTTTTTCCTTTCTTTGGTTTGAGTTTCAAGCCGACTACTGCCTCAGGTGGAGTCGCTAACCGACCAGCGAAAGTCTTTCTCTTCCATCAGTCCAAGGGCTCGTTATTATGCAAACACATTGACTGATTATTGATGCAAACACTGCATTGGAGACTTCTCGTGCATCCACAATTAACATTTAAATGCGTACGAGATGGATGATAAAAATATTCATTGTCTATTGTTAGATGGCTTATGTTGAATTCGGAATTTGGAACGGGTGAAGAGAAAATGGAAGGTTACCTGCACCTGACAAAGGTGAAGGTATTAGAAAATTCATAACTACCTGAGTTTTAATGCTTAATAAAGTCTGCTTGAATAATAAAAATTAAACAGGGAAGGTGGATTAACATCGTAAAGTGGCGACGGGGACGGCACTTTTGAGGGCAAGGAAATTTAAGAATTGTCTAGAAAACATTTACAAATTATTCAGGTCAATATTGACGAATTCACTTTCAACATTGAGAAATGGAAAACACTAACTTATAAACATGGAAAATTCTACGAAAATACTATTTTTTTTATTAATTTTTGATGAAATTGATTCTTCTGTCATAATACAAGAAATAGCTGCAAAAAAATCCCTCCACTATTTTTCCAAATTAAATTCTCTATAAAATACGACTGCATAAAGTATTGTACAGGGTGATGCATTTTGGATGTCTGAATAGGGAATCTCCGAAACTAAGAGGTTTAGCCAAAAACGAGTGATACATTCTTGAGGCTCATTTTTTGAGAAAATAGACATTATAGGGGCACTTTATTACGAGGAATTTAATAATGTAGACAAAATGCAGACAAAAGTTGACATTTTAGCGAAATATAGAAAAATTCATATCTTTGTTATTATAGAAGATACAGATTTGAAACAAAGACATTAATTATACAAACATTTTTTTACGTAGAACTTAATAATGTTGTTAATATTTTTTTTCATTTGTTAACATTTGTTTAGCAGTAATAAAATAAACTTGTATTTTTTTAAATGGGAATCATAGGTGGCTATGGAAGTTTTAAAAAGCTTATTTTTTTCTAAATTACTTGAAAAAATTGTTAACAACATTAAATTCTACGTAAAAAAGTGCCTGTATAATGTTTTTGTTTCAAATCTGTATCTTCTGTAATAACAAAAATATGATTTTTTTTAGATTTCTCTAAAATGTCAACTTTTGTCTATAAGTCGAAAACAAAAAAAAACGATAGCAAGATGCGGTTTTCACCAATATTATTTTCTCAAAAAATGAGCCCCAAAATGTATCACTCGTTTTTGGCTAAACCTCTTAGTTTCGGAGATTCCCTATTCGGACATCTAAAATGCAGCACCCTGTACATTGAAAACTTAGATCTTAGACCAAAAAATTAAATCAAAATTAATATAAATATAAGCAATAAAACAAAGTAATGATTTTTTCCTTTTGTTCCACAACTTCTAAGAAAAAAACAACTTTTGACAATTTTTCTTCTCTCTTTGTAATAAATGTTCAAATGAATGATTTGCTGTTTATGTTTGATAATAATAACAAATGCATTATGCATAATATTGAATCAAAATCCAATCAAATTTAAATAAAATGCGAAAAAATATTCAATCTTCTCGAAGAGATAATGAGAGGGAATTTTGTCCAAAAAATAAATTCGTGAACAAAGAAATTCAATTTTTATGACAAGCATAATTTTTGCCACTTAAATACTAAAGCCCCTCAGTATGCGATTTGCTTGTTTGGTGAGCTCATCGCTGTTTCATTGTTGAAATAAATTTAAAAATAATTGGTAAAATAAATACATTCCGTCAATTTAAAAATTCTCCCGGCTTACTTTTACTTAAGTAACAAGACAATCATTTTGACATTTATTAATAAGTGAAAGAACCAGGACAATTATCTCCGGATCATAAAATTTTGAAAAAAAAACTCACAACACAGTAAATACCCAATTATTTGTAGAAAGTAGGAAATGCACCACAACGCGAAATTATCAATACCCTTCAAAAATAATAAACTTTCAAACGCCCACTTTTGACAAAATCCAAAAATATCAATTACAAGTTTTGGAAACGTGCCACTCACGTCACAAGTCTATGAAAAAAATATAATTGACGTAATGATAATTTCGAATTACCTTGAGTGTTAATTTGTCATAAATGTGCATCTTGCACATATTTTTAGTAGAATTTAATCCTCACGCTAGCGTCACTGCACGCACACCGGTTTCATTAAAGCACTGCATTCGAGGATGTCTCACCGTAAACTGGCATTACCTTCCGCTCCTACCTGTGTAGGTAACTCCCCAGCGTTTCGAGTGGTCGAAATTGTCACGAATTGGTCATTATGGTACCTGAGTAATTACCAGCGACGTCTGGACTGGGATGAAATCCCACAAGCAAAGAGTTGGGATTATTTACGACAGACGATAATACTACCGCATTTGAATGTGTCTTATGATGGCTGGGAGTGCTAGGAAAAGTTGTTAAAGCTGTATTTTAAATTAATGGCAGGTTTACGGCTTCCAGCGATCGCATTTTTGTTGCTTCTTCGGTTTAATTGTCAGAGACAGATCGACAAGGCGATGCCAAAGGTCACAACAATTATGACGAACTAATCCCATGGTTTCCCAACAGGGATTTAGTATTAAAGAAATCGGAAGAACATTTTTTATCGAAGAAACGTTACGAAATTTTAAAAATTCGACAAAAGAAGCAGTGACATGGAAAATTTACTCCTCACAGTTTTGTATTCGAATAACAGAACCACTTTAATGCAAGGAACGACTGCTTTTGTCCAAGGAATTCTATCCGATGTATATTATGTAATTTTTCTTGCTTTTTTTAGGCGATAGAAAAGCGACTTTTGTTACGTATTTCTACCTATTTAGCGTTATTGTGTTATTGCATGTAATAAATGTTTTAATGTGGTTTATGATTGGAGGAGTGACAGATAATAATTGATCGTTCCCGAGCTATGACCTGCCCAAATGTGAAATGACTTGCAAAATGCGCACGCAATGTATTGCATCACAGATGGAGGTATTTACAAAGATGATTTAGGACCAAACAAATTGCAAATTCGATCAATAAACAGATTAAGGCAGTTGGGGAAATACAAATTTATTTGTTATATTTATTGAGTTATTAGTGATAAAGTCCAACAAAAAATAATAATAAATTATTATTTAGATCGAATGAAAAAGAAGTTTTAAAATTACTATTATTATTAACAAAAGTCTAATTTGTAAAACAATATCGTTAGAAATCTTGGAAATTTATAACACCATATTCTTGAATTGTCAAAAAATTCAATGCTAATGTCAAGACCTTTAATTCGCAATTTCTCTCGTATGTAATTTAACTCCTTACATAAATTAAATTAATTCAAAAATAACACTTTCGCTACTAACTCTAAAAATAAAGTCGTTATCAACTCAATGACACTACTTGTGGTGGCAAATGTCAAAATTTC